GCCATGGCACTCTACCCAGGGGAGCAGCTTGAGACTCTGTCTCAAAAAAAAAAGGGAAATAAATCAAAGAGCAGAAAAGTGCTTCAGTGATTGTAGGACATAGGATTCTACTTTATGAATCACAGTTAATAAAATGAGCCACTCACTTGAATTGCTACAAGAAAATGTAAAATAATATGATTTTGCCTTGCCATTTGAATAAAAGCAAATGGCATTTTCCCATGTATATCTGTAATACACAGAGATGCCACTTTCAATGCTTAGGTCAGGGCTAAGCTGGTTTTCCACCCTGCCTGTTACTTGATTAAAAACTGTGGACTTAACCCTTCCTCTCCTTCAAAGAAATATTATGTGAGAATGGAGGCATCACAGCTGCTCCCTGATATATCATCATGTATGTATGTGCCAGGCACCACTGTAAAAAAAATTGATGTTGACTCATTCAATCCTCACAATATCCCTCTGAGGCAGGCACTGTTACCACCATTTGATGGATAAGGAAAGTGAGCAGTTATGTGACTTGCCCAAGGCTATGAAGGGCAGGGATTGAGGCCCAGGAGGCCTGGCTCCAAAGGCACGGGCTTTATCAGCAGGCTGGTCCTCTCTAGGTACTTACTATATGAGTGTCCCAGGGACCTCCATTCTCTGTCCTTCACCAAACTAATAGAATGAACCAGGTGGACACCTCTCTCTTTAGATAGAAATTCCTTATTTCTCTCCTGAAAAGGAGCTAACTTTATACTCAGCTCGCAGGACTATCCCAATACAATATAAAATTTACTTTTCACTTGTGAAATCCAGTTGTAAATTCATAAAGCCTCCCCCTCTGAGGCAGTATTTCTTAGTCTGTCCCATGGACCCAGGGCATCAGTATCTATCTTCAGGGAATGTCTGTATGAGCTTCACTCAGACTTACTGAAACTGAATTCCTGGAAGCAGGTGCCAGTGACCTGCATTTTTAGGAGCTACCCCAGTGACTCTTACACACACTAACGACTAGCAGTCATCACAGAGTTGCATCTGGGAGGTTCAGGAGCTCTGCACGTCATCACTTCAACTGAAGGTGATTGTAGAAAGTTTTCAAAGCCTCGCTGCATTCAACAGCTATTTCAAGAATTGTCATGTGCAAGAAGTGTTCCTAAATTGTTGTAGTCTCCTTCTGTGTGAGCAGCTGGTTAAGAGAGCCTGAATAACTTCCCAAGGGACTCCAGTTAAGTGGACACTTGTACACTCTGTACCTACGAAAATATAGAAAGGACAGTTTTTTACCGTGGACTCAAAGCAACTCTCTTGGAATGGAATTCTGATCATCTTTCTTCTTGCATAAAACCCTCCCAAAGACCATAAAGTGGACTATGAGGGCTGATGTAGCTGGCTGTGAGCATCCATCAGCATTTTACTTGCCACCACTCCCAAAACCCTGACCTGCACTGTTCTCCAGTGCACCAAGGGTTGCAGCATCTTTACAGGTGATCCTGGGGTCTGTTACGCACCCTCTTCCCCAGCACCTGGTTACCTCTCATCTTCCATCAGCCCTCAGGCTCAGGGTCACTTTCTCAAGGAAGCCTTGCTAGGCCTGCTAGGAGAAGTCCAGGTGTCCTCTCATCTACCACTTCTCCTTCCGTCATTATTCCACGGCACTCAGCATAGCACACCACAGCTTTTCAGCCTGCTTTTGACTGGGCAGCACCCTTATTGTCGTCTGCCTCTTCAAGTAGACTACAAACAAGAACCATAACTGTTCTGTGCATGCCGGCGTCTGAGTGCCTGCTATGGAGTAAGCATGCTCTTCAATGTTGTAGATCATGAAAACATTTAATTCACAATGTTGGAGACACGGTTTTGGTTTTCAATCTAAAATTTGTCATCCATTGGATAAGACAAAGATTCCACATTTTCCATTTCTCTCCCTGTCTTTAAATAGCAGTGGAGATGGTTGGGTTGGAGAGTCTGAACCCCCAGACTTCTTGACGTGTTCTAGATCCCTTTCGTGAATGTGTCAGCGGCTCTAGTCCTGATGTTATTTTTACTTTGCTCAGAGTATGGTTATTGAGTCATTAGTTGCTAAAAGGAAAGTTAATGAAAGAGTAAAAATTTCTGATTTTGAAAAAGCACAAAGTAACTAATTATTTCCTCTTTTACTTCAAAGGCCGAAGTAGATTCTTGCCATTGAACGGGGTAGGGCGCATGATGAGCTTAATTGGTAATGAGATGGGGTTTTATTTAATCATATTTTATCATCACTTTCAAGTGTATCGTTAGTCAGCTATATGAACTATCACGCTTAACTTTTGTAAGAGTATTCTCTATACAAGAATGTATTTCTCACAGTAATTTGATAATGATGACATTTGTTTAAGCGAATTTTGAGTCTAAATGGTGGATTAAAAGTGTTCCTGAGCTGTAAGTATATTGAAAGCTGAAATTGTTCATCTCCTAAAACCTATGTTGTATTTAGCAAACGACGGACATTTTAAATTACTATAAAACACTGCCTTTTGGGTATTTCAACTCAAAAAATTATATCCTACACTATACACATGTATCAAAACCTAGCAATTATACGTGGATATTCTCTTATTCATTTTTAAAACATGGTAAGTGCCAGTGACCTCCCAAATTCTCCATCGATTAAACATAGGTTTCACGTTCTGGAATACAATGGCGAGGGGTGGGAGAGACACGGTAGGGTTAGTGAGTTAGACAGCCAAGCAGTCTGGATCACTGGGGATCACTCCTGGGGCAGTTTGGTTATATGTTCCCAGCCTTGTCACCTTCCACAGCTAAGATCTAATATTCATGTCACAAAAATCTGTAGGCAATAATGGATACTAACAATGTTACTTAATAATTATACTCCATGCCTACAGTACTTTCAACATTTTTGTAGGAATTACCTAACTCAGTGCACAGAGAAACCCACTGAAGTAGGCACTATTAGGAAGCCCATTTTATAAACGAGAAAACTGAGATGAAGCATATGTCAGAGCCGCACCATCATTAAGCTATTTTGGAACTCAGGCAGCCTGCCTACAGAGCACCCACTCGTAACTATTAAACTAGACTACCTCCCATACATAATTTATTTAAGAACAATGAATCAGGAAGCTTGGTCCTGCTTTCTTTCTCTCTCTTTATTTTTCCTGCAGGAGATGAAGTTGGGGAGGGTGCATTTTGTTTTTTGTTTTGTTCTAAAAGAGAAGCTGAACATGAACCTCCTTTTTTCCTGAACGTCTTTTGCCAAAGCCATTTACCTTCATCTGGGGCCAGAAAGGACACTGATTCTGAAGACAGAGCACTAATGAGCTTCCCTCTTTGTCTCCCTCCCTGTCTCTCCACTTTGCAGTTAATAGCCAAGATACCAACCATCACAGCAGTTTGCAACTTGCACGGGGAGAAACTGCAGGTATTTAAGCAATCTCATCCAGACATAGTGAATACACTGTTTCCTCCGTTATACAAGGAGCTCTTTAATCCTGACTGTGCCACGGTCTGCAAATGAAGGGGACGAGAGAACTGTCTGGTAGTCATGGAATGCATCACCATTAAGACAAAAGCAATGTGTTCATGAAGACTTAAGGAAATTGTCACTACTGCAACATTAGGAATGTCCTGCACTTAATAGAATTATTTTTCACCGCTACAGTTTGAAGAATGTAAATATGCACCTGAGTGGGGCTCTTTTATTTGTTTGTTTGTTTTTGAAATGACCATAAATATACAAATATAGGACACTGGGTGTTATCCTTTTTTTTTTTTTTCATTTTTTTCGGGTATGTTTTGGGAGACAACTGTTTATAGAATTTTATTGTAGATATGTACGAGAACAGAGCGGTACTTTACATGATTACTTTTCCTGTTGATTGTTCAAATATAATTTAAGAAAATTCCACTTACTAGGCTTACCTATTTCTATGTTTTTAGATAGTTGATGCATGTGTAAACTTGTAGCTGTCTTGGAAAGTACTGTGCACGTACGTAATAAGTATATAATATGTGAGATATTATATATGACTATTACTGATACATGCACATGCACTGTGGCTTCAATACCAGGCCTACTAGCCATGGAGGTTCAGTCAAGCGCTCTCAGATTAGTTACTTTCTACGTTATATGTCACCTTTATGTTAGACAATCAGGATTTCTTTTCCCAACCAGAGTTTTCATCCGTAGTCAAAAGCAGGGTGGTACCAATTCAGAAATGAGTCTACAAAGGAATCACTGTAATGCACGGCCTCTGTGTCAACTCTATCAGTGACATCAAAGCCTTGTCGAGATGGTACATGATGGGGAGGGGGAAGTATTTGGAGCCATTTTCCTGTCTCAAGAATTAGGCCACAGATAATATTGTGAGGTCCAGGACCTTTTTGGCCAAACAATAGGCATTTCCTACTTTTCATCAGAACATATAAAAAACACTTTCCCCCCCTTTGGATTTCCAACTGTGAAAAAACTTGATTTTGGTGCTTACTGTGTCTTCAGCTGAAAAATACAGTCTGTGGATGATGACCACCAGCAATTTTTTCTAGAAAAATAAAACTAAAAGAGCACATCAGAGCCCAGGGTCCCGAGGTCATTTCCTGTAAACATTTTTTCTCTAACCATTTTTTGGCAAAAAAAAAAAAAAAAAGAGAGAGAGAGAGAGAGAGGTAGAAAGAAAAGACACAAAGTAAATAGTAATTCTTTATATTTCTTCTCTTTGAGTTTTTGGCCAGGGCCGGGTTTGAACCTGCCACCTCTGGTATACGGGGCCAGCCCCCTACTCCTTCTTCTCTTTAATATATTTGTTACAGAAAGTAATAATAAAGGGAAGGCAGGACTTTTTATGTCCTCTTTGTCTGGGGCCTCTAATTTGTTTTCTAATTTTTTTTTTAACTCCAAAGTGCTATAGGATAAAATAATAGTAAAAACCTGATGTATTAGGAAAAAATCTGTATTATTCTATGGAATTAATATTCCCCAAAGCCAAAAGCGATCCTTACACAGATTATAATCACATCCTCCACCTACCTAGGAGAGCTTTTAGCAACTTTTAGAAGCGCATCATTACAAGGATGGCACCGGGATCAGAGATTTTAGGCTTCCTTGGACAAGTTCTCACCTCTCCACCTGCTCCTTGATAAAATTAGTCATCAGAAAAGCATAAACTCCATGGCTGCTATTCTGCCTGCATTCTGGAGGCCTATGCCTTTGGTATTATCTGATCCAAAATAAGATATATTTTATGAAGAAGGACGCTAAGGGAGAAGTTTGTGTACAGGACAATGAGAATCATGATCTCTTGTATGTGTAGCCAGCCACACACCTGCCTTTCTGTCTTTGTCAAACATACATACATGCACACAAACACACACACAGACACACATACCCCTGCGCTGTAAAGTTTGCATCAGTGGCCACTTTGATTTTTCTTTTTTTCCGTCTCTTAAGCTCTCCGGAAGCTCATGGTTGAGAGCCATCTCCAAGATGCCTCAGAACTCCTGCATGATGATCAAAACAGTAATGTTAGTCTTTTAGAAAATGGAGCTTTTTCTCACCTCATGATTGATAAATTCCAAACCAGTGGGGAAAAACAAAAAGGCTTTAAAATAATGAATCTCTTTCTCAACTACTGTTATATTCAATTAATTTAACTACATTGAACCAAATTACCTTTGGTTCTAAGAAGACAGCTGTAGACTGCTTATTATGCTGCCACAGGGACTCAATTCTTTTTGGTGTAAATGTCACTCCTGCTAGCTCTTTGTATAAAGAATTAATTCCAAGAGTCATATTTCCTTCTAATGGAAAGATTACTTTACTGATTGCTAGGAAAACAGGGTAATGGAAGGCACTCAATTAAACCAAGCCGTTTCCAAATGCAATGTATGTTTTATGATTGGCTTGCGATAGGCGAGGCTTAATGTGTCTACTTGGTGTTTCCCTTTGAGCTTTGAACTTATGTCAAACTTTGTTTTCATTGTTCTTTTGGCCAAGTGTTTTCCATTGTCAGCCTGTAATTCCTGCTCAGTTGCAAAGGGAATCATTTGCTTCCTCCAATTTACCTTAGAGGATTTAAATTGGCCCAATTGATGAAGTGGCTGAGAATTTTTTCCTCTTCTGTCCCATGGGTGATGTAGGAAAAAGATCGTTCCCCACATTTGCCTGGGGAGGTACTGGTTTTGAATCTGTGTCGTTTCCACTAGTGCAATCACTTTCCTGGGATGACATGGACCTTTTGAAGCTAGGGGACAGAAAACAGAGCTGGTGACTGAACCATAACAAAACAGTGGAAACCAGTACATGCTCAGCCCACTTCAGTTGTGAGAAGAGATTTCTAGTTTGAAGCACAGTTGCCAAATCTCCCCTTAAAAGAGAATCAAGTCATGGTTTCAGTGGTAACAAAAGTCCTAAAAAACTGCCCTTTGAACATTGCCTAAACCTATATGTCGAGGTATTTTAAAATTTTGGTAACAATAACTTTCTTTACATGCAACCCCAGCACTTTGTCCCTTCCCCGAGAGGACTAACAAATGTCCACAACACACTCATGATAAACTGTGCACTGGAAGTCAAAAAATTCATGACCCGTCCTTCACACTTCGTAACGACAATCACTGCTTGACGCAGATGTTGCACTGTATCCACTCAGGGATGTTTTCATTTGAGAAAAAAAAAAAAATGGTACATCAAGAAGGAGGGAAAAATAAAAAAAAAAAAAACAGGAAAATGACGACAAAACATAAATGGGATGAATGAAGTAGGCCAATGAGGGAACCTCTCTGACAAGGCTTTCAGACCAACAAGCAGTAACTTCACGCTGTCAACTGAATTTGCTTTTATTATGTGGACTTGCTGAACAGTTGCACATGAGTAAAGACAATGTAGCCTCATTCTCTAATGTCTGCTAAGAGCCAAATAATCCAGCTGCCCCATTCATAGGGATATTTATCTCTCAGCAAATCTAAGCTTTCTATACAAATCCGCAGCAAGGAAAATACAGAAATCTAACTGCCATTAGATGGAATTGGCAGAGGGTATGAAGCTGTGTGAATCCAAACTCCTGTATATTTGTGATCTATAAAGGAAAGGGACATTTTGGAGGGGAAAGAGATGAATAAGAGACTCCAAAGCTGGTTTTCCATCCCACGAATACCCCTACTGTCCATGTCATCTCTGCGTCCCTTTGTCTGGGGCCCTTTTATCTCCAAAGACCGAAAGCTGAGGGTGAGAAGTATTTTAAAAACATGCCCTTTTTTGACACCCTCTTGGGGGCTGTGGACTAAAGGACCTCTAAGTAGGTAAAAACAGAGAATAAAATGGTCTCTTCAGTGATTATATTTCTTTGACAGAATTAAAGAGACCGTAAATCATAATGAACTTTGCATAGTAACAAGACGTGCCAGGGAGGCAACAGTACGTTTCCTGTTCTTGCTGCCTTGTTCAACGTGTAACTTTACAGCAGTCAAGCTGTTTGTAGGAAACCACCCAAATCCCGGCACTCTCACTCCCTATCTCCAGTGCTATGTGTATCAGGCTTGAATGCAAAAACAGTTCTTATGTCCCAAAGACAACCTAAAAACATAACAGCTTTAAAAAAAAAAAAAGAAAAAGAAAAATCAGTGAGATGTTAATAACGTCAGTGTTGTTCTATGGCCTTTCTTTCTGTTTATTATACAGAAGGAAAGAAAACTTCTATTAGAAATTAGAAAAAATAATTTCCTCCTGGCTTTTTTTCTCTTTAAACTTTTATTTCCAATGAAGTTACTACAGTTGGCACTAAATTCAGGCCATGCACATCTGGGCCTTGTTAGAATCACCATTCAGTACAAGAACATAACTTTGAAGCGTGCATGGGTAGTGAGACTTCGCTCAAAGTTCCCTATAGTAGGAAGAGGAACAAGCCCCTCATTTGCTTTAAACAAAGTGCTAGTTTGATATTCTAACGGCTGGTGTAAGTAGCAACTAGAGTAAAGGCTGGATGTGGGAAACCACTGGCATCTTTCAAACAAGAACTGACCCTCTATTCATTGTTGGAGGTCTCAGGACCACACGTACCTGTCCATTTAAAGCAGGGGTTGAAAATTCAAAAGCTTAAAAGGGCCAGGGAGTTGGTGCAAATGAGTTGAACAGCCCTGCAGCAAGATGGCTAGGAAATGTCCTATGTAAAAAGGGGACATTCACTCTCAGCTAAAGTTGAGTGTTGCTAGAGCTTCTAAATTGTATAAAATCTCTCAAGTTGTAAACGATGGCAGTTGATTCAGAGTTTAGGACAGACCAAAATCTCTGGGCAGAAGAGGGCTTATAGACCACTAGCTTGCCACTTCTGGTATAAATCAAAATCCCAACAAGGGCACTGTTCAGCTAGGGCAGGTCCGGTCAGATGCAACCCTGGGTGGTATTAGAGTATTAGTGCTGGCATGGAGGGAGTAGAGATCTTGCCCTTCTAATATTCAGTTTGGTTTCCATATTTGACTATCATGACTGGAGGACATAGCAAGAGGTCAGCTTAAAACACAGCAAACAGTCTAAAAACGAAAACCATTCCATTTAACGATGGCTTATAACAGACTCCCCAATTTGTCTTGCCTGAACTTCCAACTTCCTAAAGACAGGAGGCTAGATTTCATGCCACTTTTTTCTGAAAGTCAAATGCACAATTTTCATGCTTTGGGGTCTCCACATGTTTCTTTAACTGTGTGACTTCGGTATCTCCAGCAAGTTTTAATTTCCCCTTAGTTATATGTGAAGAAT